ACAGGTTTTTTATTATTATTATTAGAATTAATATTATTATTTATTGCCAAAAAAACAAAAAATAAAAAAAAGGCGCGCTGGTTCTTTTAGCATCGTTAAATCGGTGCTAAATCCCTTAATTACCACCGGTGCGAAATCTCCGGGTTTTTGGCATCCCTCAAAATCTGGACCGGTTCAAAACCGGTGCTAAATGGGGGTTTTGAACTGGTGCGGATTACCTTTTTTCGCCTAGTGTCAACATCCTCCTTAATTATTTTGCAATAAATAAATCCAAACATCTTTTGAAAAATCATCAACTATTGTTAAAAAATAATGAGCACCTCACGAGGAAGGTGTTCTATACGAACCCCACAAATCAACATGTACAAGTTCAAATATTCGACTAGCTTTATTTTCACTAATTGGAAAGCTATATCTATCTAGATTGTTTCGCATGATGACAAACATCACAAACTTTATTATTTTCCTAGAAGAAATACTCACATTTGGAATCAATCTCAATACCGACTCTGAAGGATACACCATCCTTACGTATTCACTTGGCGGTAATACGCCCAACTCTATCTCTACGGTATTTTATACGCATTATTCTAGTATTTTCGTAAAGGGAGATTTGGGTATTACAACAATCCTATCATATAACTAATATATAAAGCTAAACTTTTAGCCAGGCCTCGAAATAGCGACACTTGGCGTTGCCAAGTGTCGCACCACGTTTATAAAGATTATTTTGACACATATGATTTATTTGTTTAATAAAAAAAAATTGATAGATTTATATACACTTTGTAGGATAAAAAAAGTTAGTTTAAAAATTTTATTTTCAATAAAATTTGGATAGAATTTTAGGATAAAATTAGTTTAGTGTTTTATTTTTGATAAAATATCAATATATGTACAAATTAAATTATAATTTTATTCAAAAAGCATATTAGATTATAACTCTCAATAATTATTATATTAATTTATTTTTTATATCATAATAATTTTTTCATTAAATTTTACAAAAAATTATACTCATAATACTAATTCAAAAATATATATAAATTTAATTTTATACCTAGCTATATCAATGTCAAGATTAGTGACACTTAGACTTGATTTTTTTATTTTTATTTTTTTTAAAAAGAAGGGTTTATGAGGTTTTATTTTAAAAAATAAAATTCTAAGGATAGTACCCGCGTGCTATGTTATTATTGATACAACTTTTAAAAGTAGAAAATAAAGTGTATATATATGTGTTAACAAAAATGATTTTAATTTTAATTCAATTAAAAATTATTGCAAATGTAACAAAATTGAAAGAAAAAAAAGGTTAATAGTATTATCAAAAACTAAGATAATATAAAGCGGCATTGTTTAATAATATTTACCTAATATACGTTCATTTATTTACAAAAAAATTACCTAATATATATATATAATATATATATATATATATATATATATATATATATATATATATATATTAGTTGATTGGGTTTATATGGAGAAATATTATTGTTAAGAATTTTAATTGGAAGAAAGATATTTTGTATTATTATAAAATAATTTCCTTTAAAAATCTGCGTAAAAACGTAAAGTAAAAAGGGCATGAAATTTTTTAACCAGGAGATGACATTTATACAATAGAATAAATTACACTTAGACAAAGCAACACATTAAACACTAACCAAAATATTGTATCAATCCTTTCTCAAAAAAAAAAATTGCGTCAATCATAAGATTTATATCCATATTTATTCACGCATATTATGTAATAGAATCTTATGATTAATAATCTAATATATATATATATATATAATTAAAAAATACATATTATGTTATAATTAAAAAGCAAAATTAACAAACGAGATTTGAGAGTTTAAATTTATGTCCCACGTATGTTAAACAAAAAAAAAAAAAAAAAAAAAAAAAAAAACTTAATTTTATCCAAATATCTGACAAATGAGATGATATATCAATGAAAAAAATTATATTTTATTTTAGAATTAAAAAATAAAGCTACATAAGAATTAATGAAAATTAATGAATGATATTTAGTGAGTCAACTAATGAAATATGATATTTAAATTATTTAAAAAATAAAAAAATTATCTCTTCATATGAAAAATTTTATCCGACACATTGTGAGATTTTTGATAAAAAAAAACTAAAAATTATCACATTTTGATGCATTTTAAATTACATAAAAATAGTACTTATGTTTTTCTAACCCGCAATAGCAAGTTTCTCAAATATTATAGGATGTAATTAAGAAAATAATCCTTTTATATGATTTATGTTTAAAAAAACCGTGCATCGCACGAGCTTTCATCTAATATTATATAAAAGAATGCAAACATATATTAAACATACTAAAATATTAGTTATTTTGTTAATTAAAGTATAATTTATCTATTTATTTTCTATACCTATATTTATATAATAATAATAATTAAATAAAGAAATAGTGAAAGTGGCGGGAAAATTATTAATTACATCGTGACAAGTGTCATTTTAGATACGCTTTTATTATAGGTTATTTTTTTTTTTTTTTTTTTTTTTTTTGAGGAATATATTATCTATTCTAAACGATTGAAATAAATTACTACTTCACAATCTAATATAATTTTATTACTATATGTAGACCTGACAATCGGGTCGGGTCATGGGGTATTACGAGACAGGTAACTTCAGGTCACGGGTCAAGAAATGTTCAACCTTAGCAGGTTCGGATCAACCCAACAGGCTTAGAACATTTTTTTAATTTAGTTTATTTTTGGCTCACTTTTAGAAATTTCTAATATTTCAAGCTTACTTTGCTATTTTTTTAATAATTTTTTTACTTGAACATTTTTACCAATATTATTATTAGTCATTACATACCTACTACATTACTTAAATTGTCACAAAAAGCACCTCAATCCCTATCTAATTTTGTGTCAATTATATATTTTAACACTTGGCATATAGAATAAAGTTTTATCTTAAAATTCACTAAACAACCCGGACACCACACGGGGCACAAAACTAGTCCTATATATAAAGTGAAAGGGGGTTTTGGGTGATAAATTTCACTTTCCCGAAATACCCCTCTCATTTTTAATTTTATTTTACGAAAGAAAATTACCATCCTTTTATTTTAAAAATACATAAAAAAATAAAACCTACCATGTGTTAAAAAAAATCCATTTTTTCTTTTTAATTTTTTTTTAGGGAAGTCATATTTTATATTTAGCATACAAGTCATCATCAACATTTTTTATTAATACAGTAACATATTTTTTAATTGTTTTTATCAACAATTTTGTAAACCACTTATATTGTTTTTTATTAGAATAATTAAGGAGATATATGTGAAAAAAAACAAAGAGAATCGAGCTTGATAAGTTACTTAAATTGCACACGCACGCATTGCGTCTGTCTCTTAGCTTGTAGTTCCTCTTTTTATTTTTACTTGACCTATTTCTTTTATCACGCTTGCCAATGCAAAACTTTAATGATCAGTAACTTTAATTCTCCATAAGTAAAAATTATAAAAGTTATATATTAGATAGTACTTATCCAGATGAATTCATAAAGATCCCACATAAATATGTTTTTCATTACATATTATTCACAAAAGACGGTCAAAGGAGAGATCATGAATAGTGTAAAAGTCAAAGCGAGTCAAGTAAAAAATAACGGAGGAAGTATATACTAAGAGACACACCACACGTGTCATCTTCTGGTGTGTCCTTAGTTATTTTTTTAAAAAAAAAAAATCTTTTGATTAAGAAAACAGATTATTTACAAAATAATCTAATGAAGTTTTTTTAAATATGTATTATTTAAAATATAAATTTAACAAATCTTTCTAAAAGAATTTGGAGAACTATAAACCAAAAATCATATTCTTGAAAATTTGTGACCTGTTTTACAACAAGAAAAAAATATTGCTCAAATTTTTTGCCTACTTTTGTTTTAGTTGTGTAATAGAACTTTAGAAGCTACAACAAAAAAAATCCAAATACCAAATCAACATTTCACATACTTTTATTATTTCTCGATTAATTTATGATTATGATACTTATAAATCAATAATTTATAACTATTGAGAATCTAACCTAGTTCAATATATACCTTACATTTGATCTTTAAGGGCCTAAAATCGAGTTAATTTAAGAACCTAGTTTCCTAATTGTAACGAATTCAGAAATCGGTCGGGAGGGGTGTTCACTGTTGAGAATCAAAGTAGATAGTTCCAGTCACTTCTAATGGGAATAATTAGTTGGCCTTTACAAGTTATTTTTTTTGACAAGTTATTGAACTATTAGTCCCATGTTTAACCAACACATCTTAATTCCACTAACATTCCTAACTAGCTTAGGGGTATTTGGTTCGCAAAGTGGTATGGGGTTGGAATCAGGAATGAGGTTAAAATGGTATCGGGTTGGAACTTGATACTTAATACCGTATATTTGGTTTAATTTTGGAATGAAATATCTCATTATTCTCTCCTTTTATTTGATACCTAAGGGAATGGAATGAGCCAAACTCACCTTCCCCCCAAGGTTTCTAAACCCCATACCTCATGAGTTTGAGGTATGGGTTTAAAATTCATGTTTTTGACAACCAAACATATGGTATGGATTTTAGTCATTCTAAATCCAAATATACCTATATTCCGCAAACCAAGCGCCCTCTTAATAAGTATTGGGTTATACGCCAATATTAACTAAATAATTGTGATTATATCTTATTGTCTTAAAAAAATTAACCTGGCCTGTGGCCTGGGGACACGTATTAGTAATAATTAGGGGTGACCAAACAATCAAGATACCCTAAAACGGAAACGAAACTTGTTAGGAACCGTAAGTTCCGAAACCTGTACAAGAGGTTCTGGTTCTAGGTAGTAAAATGGAAACCTGTACCAACAAGTTCCGATTCAAGTTCCCAATTTTTTGGAACCGGAAAGTACCACTAAAGTTCAAATTATATACCAATTCTAAACTAATTTAAAATAATAAATATCAACATAACAATTATAGATATATGTATTAAATTTGCTAAACAACTACTATTATTTTGTTTTATTTGCTAATTGTAAATATTATAAATCAGTGACCATCTAGTTTTTTACAAAAAAATTTGCAAAATATTATTAAAAGACAGGGTACCTTGAATCGGAACCGAAACCTATAAGTTCCAGTTCCCAATTTCTAGGAACTTGTTCAAAGAGGTTCCGGTTCCGGTTCCCATTTTGAAGAACCTATTGCAACAGTTTCCTGTATTGGGTATGTTGGATGATCAGCTCTGCACTAGAATTTACATTTTGCAGCAGGGTGGTGAGCTTTTCTTTATCTGAACACGCAATGACCATTTTCTCAAGTGCGACAGCATTTCTAAGCAAATATAGTACAAGCTCGACCAAATTATACTTCTGAGAGTATGTATCAATCTCGACTTCTTTCAACTGATGTTGGCAATCTGGATATTCTTTCTGTGGGCTCTGCCTGGTGAAAGTTAGAGGACGCAGCTGTTAGAGAAGAGAAAAATCAGAACATTAATAAGATGGGCAAAATATCAATAACAGACAACCTTAAAACGAAGAAAATACAGCAATTGGCTTAGGGGAGAGCAATACAGAGAGCAAATACTTCCTCCCTAAAGAGGAGACACGATTACGAACAAAAAGAAAACATCACTCATAAGCATATTTAGGCCTTTAGGGATTCCTTTTAATATTGTATTATATTGTTTGGGATATTTGGTAATTTGTGTAAGCATGTATGTATTTCATATCTCTTAATATAATGATATAAAATTTACCTACAAAGTGCTGCAAAATCTCTTGATGGAGTATGCACCAATAAAGAAAGGCACTTTGGTAAATCAGGAAGAGAAAAGATACCTAAGAGGTGCCTTTCTGTGAGCAAGGATGAGGAATTGCAAATTGGAGCAAAAAAAAGGAGATAACAGTCTAAATGTGCACACCCCAACAAAAAAGGAGATAACTGAGAACTGCTCCAACAACAAAGTCTTATCTACCTCTTCCAGGTTTTGAAAAAATCTAGTCTGTCGTTCATGAAACGAAATATCTGCTTTGCTTCGCAGGCAAAGTCATATTGACAAGAGAATCTTGTCGTTGAAGAGGCTTTTGAGCCTGGAATAATAGAACCTTCTGTGAATCCTAACCTCAAAAGTCCATCCAGAACTGCAGTCTGTGTACCTTTTCTCACAGAAGCCAAATATGCTTAGTAGATATTGCTAGGATTAACAATATTGATGCATACTCTGTTTATGGCTTAGATGCCATAGGTTTACTTTTGCTTGCCTATGGAGGGGGTAGATGTCTAAGTTGTTTTTTGCTCAGAAAATTTAATCCTGTTTAGCATTATTGGTCTAAACTGAAAAGGAAATGGGATGTTTCCAACTTGTATGATGCTCCCAATCTTTCCCGCCAAGAGGACTGGCACTTTGTTCTTTCTTTTCTAAAATCATTCATGTCGTTAGCACTCCAACCAAATGAAAATCACTCGGACAAACTAAGGAAACCTTTAACCTCATAAAATCAAGGGGGTATGACCTGTAGAATCAAGGGTAAGGCAAAGGCGATCTCCTCAACAAAGTGAGGCACATTAACATACACCAGAAATTAATGAAGCCAATAGTATGCTAAATTAACAGTTTTGAATTCTGATGCCATAAAAATCGTTGAACAGCACACAGTGAGCTTCATGGGTGGAAGCATTTACTAAATCCAATGAAAAACATAACCCGTGTGATTAAGTTAAAGGTAAGTGAGGCACATTAACATACACCAGAAATTAATGAAGCCTATAGTATGCTAAATTAACAGTTTTGAATTCTGATGCCATAAAAATCCTTGAACAGCACACAGTGAGCTTCATGGGTGGAAGCATTTACTAAATCCAATGAAAAACATAACCCGTGTGATTAAGTTAAAGGAAAATGGGTAATAAAATAATACAGAGTTGGAAACAGGTTAATCTAACCGGATTTACATCAAAATCTTGGTTGTACATATGAAGTGAGGTACACGTGACTCAAATATTTAGGTCCTTCAGATAGTTATTGAGCACTTTTGCAAACATATAGAGCTAATTAAAGATAAGACTTATTAGCCTCATTCAAATTATAATGAGCTCTTTCAGAGAGTTATTGACATTACTGTATATACGATGAGCTAATTCATAACGCAAATGAACTAAAACAAAGCAATATTTATTGAGCTCATTTTAGAGGGCAAAAATAAAATAAAGATATCCTTATAATTTAATCTTACACAAGTGTTTCCTTCCACAAAAACCCAAAAAAAAAAAAAAAAAAAAAAAAAAAAAAGGAACCCTTACACAAGTGACTATGTTTCCTTTCTGGCGAGGACAAAGACCAAAAGATGATGCAGAATTAGTATGCTGATATGATTCAGGTCAACCACAATCCTTGGAGTGATTACAGCTTGGAGCTTGCAACAATAAACTTTTCTCATGAGCATTTCTCTAGGTTGTCCTTTGGCATCAAGAGGTTAAAGAAAGCAATGTCCCTAGGCCCTTTCAAAGAGTTCAAACCCCTCTCAAGTCTCAAATACTGGAAAAATATGATCCCGATCTCCAAGGACATTATTTCACTATTAATAATTTTGGGAGTACAAAGGTAATTATCACAACTACAATATTAGACACTTTGTGTTTTTAGGATAACTACAATTAGTACGCTCAACAATGGTACTTAACCCAAAAACACCTCTCTTAACGAATTTTGTGTTTGCCTCACTTTTACCACTTACTCCTTCACTCTTATATTTTGTGCACCCTCACAATATGCACTTTGCTTCATACACTGCACTTTGTGTGTCTTACTGCTTGTTGTGCATACCTCATGCTGCAACCTAAGTTCTAAAGGGCGCAAAGCACACCAAGGTGCAAAAGTCCTTGGAGCTTAGCGCAAGGCGAAGGTGTGTGCCTTTAGTAGCCTTGTAGGTGAGGCACACCTTATTCATATAGAAAAGAAATTATAATTTCTATTAAATAAGTGTGAAATGGTATAATGAGAAAAGGTGAAAGGGTCATGTGATCAATAGCTAGGGTACCTTGAATCGAATTGGGGGATATGGGATTTCTCTATCCTCTAGAATTAAAATAAACTAGCCTGTCACAAAGTCCCATGGTATTTTTTAGAAAAAAATAACTTACACATTAGCTATTGATGCTTTACAGCATAAGGTGCAAAGGCACAAGAAGCAGTCTAGAAAAAAAGCGCAAAGGCGTGCGCCTTTTAAGGGTCTTTGAGCCTCAAGCCTCACTATGCCTTGCGCCTAGGCGCTTTTTTAAACTAATTAAGGCTTCTACATTTATAAAAGCCCTTAAACAACATCAACAATCAAGAACTCTAGTGAGACCACTAGAGTTAATGCTCCTTTGACTTTCTAAGCCATAATTTCCACTGCAAAGGTAGAATTCTCTAGACTAACTCACAAGCAACTGTCTAGAGAAACATCGTTTCTACTTTTTATAATTTTAGAACTAATCAATAGTATGTATTTGGTACATTTGGGGAGGTTATCCCAAATTCCCAACTCATAATGCTTGAGATAAAATAAAAGCAAAAATAAACAAGGCTAATTGGCTTGTAAATCAGCAATTCATTCTAAATAAAAATCAAATCAAAGACTGACCTTCAAACGTAATATCTCAAGAGATGGACACGCGTTTATAAAATAAGTGATGCCGAAGAGGTCAAAACCATATGGAACTAGCATTACTAGATCAAGCTGCTTTAAGCAAGATTTACTTATTCTTGCTGTTAATGGAAGTGGTTGTATCTGAAAATAAATAAGAAATTATGTTAGCCAGGAATGGAAGACCTTATAACAATTAATAGAATATATGATATGATATGCATCTTCACTGACCACTAAAGGCCTGACAAAAAAGGATAATGCTTTAAGATGGGGAGCAAATCTGATGAGCTCTGCAATAATCGATGAGCCGCCATCACGACGACCAATGGGAAACACTTTCGCTTGTCTCAGAAAAGGGAGATGAGCAAGTGTAAGATTACTCAGTGGACCAATACATTCGAAAACCTCAAGATTAGGACAATTGAGCTTGATGTCTAATGAAATATCATCAATTAAAAGTTTCTTCAAACCAAGGAGTTCAACTTTTAGGCACTTGATTCTTGGATAGCAACAGTGTTCTAAGCTAAGTGATGTGAGATTCAAAGCACTAGACAAAATAAACACCATGTCATTATGATTCATACGTACCCCAAACATATGAAGGGTCGTTAAATGACTAATCCAACTTGTACAACAAGAAGAAAGGTTAAGTTGACAACCTGATAAACGTAAACACGTCAAAGAAGATGCCATCCAAGGGCACAACAGATAACAAGAGAAAACATAATTTTGGATACCTAGGTCCAACTCCTTAATTCCCATTGTAACAGCACGTAGAATCCAGCTGTCAATATGGGAAGAATATTCATTATCAAGGCCAAAATGGAGCACAAGCACCCTCAAAGTTTGATCTCTCAATGTGTCCAGGAACTGATCAACAAGTCTCACAAACTTGGATCGATGAGAAACACGGTTATATCCTTCGTTTCCAAAAACATTAAGAGCATCAAGCCGAAGAACAGTACGACAATAAGGGAGATATCTCCACCTACGTGACAATAACCTTGCTCTAACAGCATCTCGCAAAGTTAAAAAAGACAATATGTAGCTTACAACATCATCCGGCAATTCACTTATGTAGTCACCCATATCGCTTGATCTGATCGATACACGTCTAACATATAACAACTGAAACCAACAAAAAACTTTTCAATTAAGACATTTAGACACGAAAACAATACGAAGTACTAAACAGAAACCAAGCCCGTCCCTGAGGCAGGGCAGGAGGGAAAAGATGTCTAATTTCATAAACAATTATCTCGAAAAATACATAATTTTAGGGATATTTGATTCAATAATCAAATTAGACTCATAATTTTCTTTTCTTTTGGTTATCTTATAATTTAGAACCAAAAGTTCAGATTTTTGTAACCCAACACTTAATGGAGTGACAATTCAATAATCAAATTAGGCTCATAATTTTCTTTTCTTTTGGTTATCTTATAATTTAGAACCAAAAGTTCAGATTTTGAAACGCAACACTTAATGGAGTGACAATTAAATTAGATTGTGCAATTGATATGATGATGACAAAAACAAACAACTTACCTCAGAAGCTGCTTCAATGGGGAATACAAGAATTAGAAGGCTTCAACGGAGAACGTCGACTGCGCTTCAATGGAGAACGTTGAGTGCGCTTCAATGGAGAACACAGAGAGAGCAATTCAATAGGTTGGATGCCTTGGAGTCCTATTAAAAGCCATGAACCACCACAATTATAGATGGGTTAGATCCGTCTAATAAATAAATGGGGCGGATCTTTGGTAGAGTGGGGGAAGTTGGTTATGATTTATGAATCCTTATGATGCTTCATATGGTGCAAAGTCTTTTTCAAATATATAATTAAAAGTCGATTAATATTGCTAAGATGCAAAAAATACCCAAAATCGGTATGCCTTACCCTAAAGGACGATGAGAACTAGAAACTCATCTGGATCGTCCATTACGTTTCATCAAACGGTCTGCACTTCACACGTCTCATTAATGGCATCTTCGAAATTATATGGCTTTTTAAACTTTTTTTCCAGCTTATTCACTTTTAAGCAATTTCATTTACTATTTGACTGATTTAATTTACTTTTACTAACTTTTCATTTACTTTTAACAATAAATAAATTAATGAAAACTTTTCCACAACAATTCTTTAATTATTTAAGCTGCTACTTGATGATAATTAATATGTTTTCTTCATTAAAAGTAAAAATAAGTTGTGCAAGGAATTTGGATAATTAGGTATTTACTTTTAAAGTAGAGGTGATCATTGAAGGTCGGGTCGAGCCGAGGCAAAAAAAAGTCAACCCATTCCTCTGGGCGGGCCGGGTCGGGCCAAGCTTCGGGCCAAAAATTATGTGCCAAAACCCGCCCAAATTAAGTGTTTTTACTGATACAACTTTTAAGAGTAGAAAATAAAGTGTTAACAAAATGATTTTAATTTTAATTCAATTAAAAATTATTGCAAAAGTAACAAAATTGAAAGAAAAAAAAGGTTAATAGTATTATCAAAAACTAAGATAATATAAAGCGGTATTGTTTAATAATATTTACCTAATATATGTTCATTTATTTACAAAAAAATTACCTAATATAAAAGACTGCGCATATATATATAAATATATTAGTTGGGTTTATATGGAGAATTATTATTGCTAAGAATTTTAATTGGAAGAAAGATATTTTGTATTATTATAAAATAATTTCCTTTAAAAATCTGCGTAAAAACGTAAAGTAAAATGGGCATGAAAATTTTTAACCAGGAGATGACATGTATACAATAGAATAAATTACACTTAGACAAAGCAACACATTAAACACCAACCAAAATATTGTATCAATCCTTTCTCAAAAAAAAAAAATTGCGTCAATCATAAGATTTATATCCATATTTAATCACGCATATTATGTAATAGAATCTTATGATTGATAATCTAATATATATATATATATAATTAAAAAATACATATTATTTTATAATTAAAGAGCAAAATTAACAAACGAGATTTGAGACTTTAAATTTATGTCCCACGTATGTTAAATTAAAAAAAAAAAAAAAAAACCTAATTTTATCCAAATATCTGACAAATGAGATGATATATCAATGAAAAAAATTATATTTTATTTTAGAATAAAAAAATAAAGCTACATAAGAATTAATGAAAATTAATGAATGATATTTAGTGAGTCAACTAATGAAATATGATATTTAAATTATTTAAAAAATAAAAAAATTATCTCTTCATATGAAAAATTTTATCCGACACATTGTGAGATTTTTGATAAAAAAAAAAACTAAAAATTATCACATTTTGATGCATTTTAAATTACATAAAAATAGTACTTATGTTTTTCTAACCCGCAATAGCAAGTTTCTCAAATATTATAGGATGTAATTAAGAAAATAATCCTTTTATATGATTTATGTTTAGAAAAACCGTGCATCGCACGAGCTTTCATCTAGTATTATATAAAAGAATGCAAATATATATAAAAAACATACTAAAATATTAGTTATTTTGTTAATTAAAGTATAATTTATCTATTTATTTTCTATACTTATATTTATATAAATAATAATTAAATAAAGAAATAATGAAAGTGGCGGGAATATATTATCTATTTTAGATACGCTTTTATTATAGGTTAATTGATTTTTTTTTCTTTTGAGGAATATATTATCTATTCTAAACGATTGAAATAAATTACTACTTCACAATCTAATATAATTTTATTACTATATGTAGACCTAACAATCGGGTCGGGTCACGGGGTATTACGAGACGGGTAACTTCAGGTCACGGGTCAAGAAATGTTCAACCTTAGCCTAAAATTTCGGGTTCGGATCAACCCAACGGGCTTAGAACATTTTTTTAATTTAGTTTATTTTTGGCTCACTTTTAGAAATTTCTAATATTTCAAGCTTACTTTGCTATTTTTTTAATAATTTTTTTAATTGAACATTTTTACCAATATTATTATTAGTCATTACATACCTACTACATTACTTAAATTGTCACAAAAAGCACCTCAATTCCTATCTGATTTTGTGTCAATTATATATTTTAACATTTGGCATATAGATAAAAGTTTTATCTTAAAATTCACTAAACAACCCGGACACCACACGGGGCACAAAACTAGTCCTATATATAAAGTGAAAGGGGGTTCAAATTTCACTTTCCCAAAATACCCCTCTCATTTTTATTTTTATTTTAAAAAAGAAAATTACCATCCTTTTATTTTAAAAATACATAAATAAATAAATAAATAAACCTACCATATGTGTTAAAAAAATCCATTTTTTCTTTTTAATTTTTTTTTTTAGGGAAGTCATATTTTATATTTAGCATACAAGTCATCATCAACATTTTTATTAATACAGTAACATATTTTTTAATTGATTTTATCAACAATTTTGTAAACCACTTATATTTTTTTTTATATTAGAATAATTAAGGAGATATATGTGAAAAAAAAAAGAGAATCGAGCTTGATAGGTTACTTAAATTGCACACGCACGCATTGCATGCGTCTCTTAGCTTGTACTCCTCTTTTCTTTTTTACTTGACCTATTTCTTTTATCACGCTTGTCAATGCAAAACTCTAATGATCAGTAATTTTAATTCTCCATAAGTAAAAATTATAAAAGTTATATATTATGATAGTACTTATCCAGACGAATTCATAAAGATCCCACATAAATATGTTTTTCATTACATATTATTCACAAAAGACGGTCAAAGGAGAGATCATGAATAGTGTAAAAGTCAAAGCGGGTCAAGTAAAAAATAACGGAGGAAGTATATACTAAGAGACACACCACACGTGTCATCTTCTGGTGTGTCCTTAGTTATTTTCTTAAAAAAAAAATCTTTTGATTAAGAAAACAAATTATTTACAAAATAATCTAATGAAGTTGTTTTAAATATGTATTAATGATTATTTAAAATATAAATTTAACAAATCTTTCTAAAAGAATTTGGAGAACTATAAACCAAAAATCATATTCTTGAAATAATTTGTGACCTGTTTTACAACAAGAAAAAAATATTGCTCAAATTTTTTGCCTACTTTTGTTTTAGTTGTGTAATAGAACTTTAGAAGCTACAACAAAAAAAAAAATCCAAATACCAAATCAACATTTCACATACTTTTATTATTTCCCAATTAATTTATGATTATGATACTTATAAATCAATAATCTATAACTATTGAGAATCTAACCTAGTTCAATATATACCTTACATTTGATCTCTAAGGGCCTAAAATCGAGTTAATTTAAGAACCTAGTTTCCTAATTGTAACGAATTCAGAAATCGGTCGGGAGGGGTGTTCACTGTTGAGAATCAAAGTAGATAGTTCCAGTCACTTCTAAGGGGCATAATTAGTTGGCCTTTACAAGTTATTTTTTTTTGACAAGTTATTAAACTATTAGTCCCATGTTTAACCAACACATCTTAATTCCACTAACATTCCTAACTAGCTTAGGGGTGTTTGGTTCGCAAAGTGGTATGGGGTTGGAATCAGGAATGGGGTTAAAGTGGTATCGGGTTGGAACTTGATACTTAATACCGTATATTTGGTTTAATTTTGGAATGAAATATCTCACTATTCTCTCCTTTTATTTGATACCTAAGGGAATAGAATGAGCCAAACTCACCTTCCCCCCAAGGTTTCTAAACCCCATACCTCATGAGTTTGAGGTATAGGTTTAAAATTCATATTTTTGACAACCAAACATATGGTATGGGTTTTAGTCATTCTAAATCCAAATATACCTATATTCCGCGAACCAGGCGCCCTCTTAATAAGTATTGGATTATACGCCAATATTAACTAAATAGTTGTGATTATATTTTATTGTCTTAAAAAAATTAACCTGGCCTGAGGCCTGGGGGCACATATTAGTAATAATTAGGGGTGACCAAAAAATCAAGATACCCTAAAACGGAAACGAAACTTGTTAGGAACCGTAAGTTCCGAAACCTGTACAAGAGGTTCTGGTTCTAGGTAGTAAAATGGAGAACCTGTACCAACAAGTTCCGATTCAAGTTCCCAATTTTTTGGAACCGGAACTTGTAAGGTACCCTGTAACCTGATAAAAGTACCACTAAAGTTCAAATTATATACCAATTCTAAACTAATTTAAAATAATAAATATCAACATAACAATTATAGATATATGTATTAAATTTGCTAAACAACTACTATTATTTTGTTTTATTTGCCAATTGTAAATATTATAAATTAGTGACCATCTAGTTTTTTACAAAAAAATCTGCAAAAAATTATTAAAAGACAGGTACCCTGAATCGGAACTGAAACCTACAAGTTCCAGTTCCCAATTTCTAGGAACTTGTTCAAAGAGGTTCCGGTTCCGGTTCCCATTTTGAAGAACCTATTGCAACAGGTTCCTCTATTGGTTATGTCGGATGATCAGCTCTGCACTAGAATTTACATTTTGCAGCAGGGTGGTGAGCTTTTCTTTATCTGAACACGCAATGACCATTTTCTCAAGTGCGACAGCATTTCTAAGCAAATATAGTACAAGCTCGACCAAATTATACTTCTGAGAGTATGTATCAATCTCGACTTCTTTCAACTGATGTTGGCAATCTGGATATTCTTTCTGTGGGCTCTGCCTGGTGAAAGTTAGAGGATGCAGCTGTTAGAGAAGAGAAAAATCAGAACATTAATCAGATGGGCAAAATATCAGTAACAGACAACCTTA